GATTTACAGGATCAAGGAAGAGCACGATGGGAGCAAACGCTACAAAGCGAGATTGGTTGTCAAAGGTTTTCAGTAAAAAGAAGGTATTGACTACAATGAAATTATCTCTCCAGTCGTGAAACTGTCTACAATCAAACTGTTGTTGAAAATTATAGCTAAAGAAAATCTACATCTTGAGCAGTTAGATGTAAAGGAAGCTTTCCTTCATGGTGATTTGGAGGAAGAAATATATATGAGGCAGCCAGAAGGCTTCATAGAGGCAGGCAAGAAAAACCTGGTATGCAGGTTGAAGAAGAGCTTGTATGGTTTAAAACAAGCTCCTAGACAATGGTAGAAGAAGTTTGATAGTTTCTTGAGTAGCAGTGGTTTTACCAAATGTCAAGCAGATCATTGTTGCTACATCAAGAGGTTCGACAACTGCTCATTATTTTATTATTGTACGTTGATGACATGCTCGTTGCAGGCTCAAACATGCAAGAGATTATACACTTGAAGCAAGAATTGTCGAAGCAGTTTGCTATGAAGGATCTGGGCACTGCAAAGTAGATTCTTGGAATGAGGATTAAGAGAGACACAAAGTCGGGGACTTTGAAGTTATCACAGGCTGAGTACATCAACAAAGTACTCTCCAGGTTCAACATGCAAGATGTTAAACCAGTAAGTACACCTTTAGGTATTCATTTTAGACTCACCAAAGAACAGTCATCAAAGACGGAGGAAGAACGTGCACACATGGTGAAGGTGTCGTATGTCTCAGCAATTGGAAGTCTAATGTATGCCATGGTTTGTACCAGGCCAGATATTGCTCATACAGTGGGAGTTGTTAGCAGGTACATGAATAATCTAGGCAAGATACACTGGGAAGCTATCAAATGGATCTTCATATATCTGAGAGGTACTACAAACAAAGCACTTTGTTTCAAAGGTAGAAATACGATACTGACAGGCTATATAGATGCTGACTTAGCCGAAAATGTTGACATCAAAGGAGCACTAAAGATATGTATATACTCTAGGAGGAACCGCAGTGAGTTGGGTTTCTCAACTACAGAAGATAGTTGCTCTCTCCACAACTGAAGCAGAATATGTCGCTGTTACGGAAGCCATCAAAGAGATGGTTTGGCTCCAAAGTTTCTTGGAAGAGCTAGGCAAGAAACAAGAAAACAATGTCTTCTATTGCGACAATCAAAGTGCTATCCAACTAGCAAAGAATCCGTCTTTTCATTCTAGGACGAAGCACATACAATTGCGGTATCATTTTATCCGGTTTCTTCTGGAAGATGGGATTTTGAAACTTGAAAAGATTAGTGGAGCTCAAAATCCAGCAAACATGTTGACAAAGACGGTGACCACGGACAAACTGAAGTTGTGTTCAACTTTAGTTGGCATGCTAGAGTAACAAGACCAAAATGTTGTTGCACCGATCTAGGTATGAAAACAGATTAAAATCAGTCTTCAAGTGAGAGATTGTAAAGTCAAAAGGTGATGAAATGGGGAGCACCGCCTAAGCATTTTTCAACAAATGTTTGACACCGCCAAATGCACAATTCAAAGGTGGGTTGCCTAATTATTTGAAAATGGTAACGGATAAATCATACATTCAGCCATTATATTTTAGGGTAATTACAAAATTAGTCCCTAAGCTTCAACTATAAATACCCTAGCTCATTTAGCTTCAAAATCATCCCAAAATCATTTCTTTCTCCCAATACTAGAGAGATTTCTTGTGAGTAGTGAGTGTTTTGTAAACACCTGTAAATTTTCTCTCTAGTAAAATATTTGCTGCAGTCTGGAGACGTAGGCATAATTGGCTGAACTCCGTTATCAATTTCGGGTATTATTTTTTCGCTTTTATTTCGTATTCTCACTAATCTGGTTATAAGGAAATTACTCATACTCGATTTATTTCCCAACATTACTGACAACAACATCATAGATCAAGAGGTTATTCATACCATGCGGGTTACTAAATCCAAGTTGGGATGGATGGCGATCAAGGTAGACTTAGAAAAAAGCCATTGATCGAATTCGCTGCGACTTCATTCAAGACACACTCCACGATGCTGGTCTTTCTTCCAAACTTATCTGCATCATCATGAAATGTATCATTGGCTCCTTTTTTCAGCTTCAATGGAATGGGAGTTACTCAGAGCCTTTCACTCCTGAGCGATGGATCTGTCAAGGCGACCTAGTCTCGCCTTATCTCTTTGTTCTCTTTATGGAACGCCTTGTTCATTCCCTCACCAAGGCTGTGGCAAACGGTACTTGGACTCACTTTGAAATCATAACATCCCTCTCTCCCACCTATTTTTTTTGCATACAATCAGATATTATACACTCGTGCTGATATAGCAAGTGCTATTGAAGTTGACTCAATTCTCTCGGACTTTGGAATCTAATCGGGGCATCGAGTAAGTAAATAGAAAACCCAACTTTACTTCTCGCCAAATACCCCTATGGATTTGCGCAACAAGATAGGTAATTTCCTGGGTTTTAAAACTGTCCCAGTAATCCATCAAAGGATTAGATGCTCAGACTATGATTTCATCCTTGACAAGATGCGTGCTAAACTCTCTGGCTGGGCCGCCTAGACTTTCTCTCTTACCGATCGTTTTACTCTAGCGAAATTAGTCTTAAAGGTCATTCCAGTTTGTTTCATGCAAACAGCGATGCTCCCTAAAAAAGTTTGCAATAAAATTGAGATCATTCGAAACTTCATCTGGGGCTCCTCTCCTTCGGCTCCAAAGTTTTCCCTTGTCAACTAAGAGATCATTTGACAACCCTTTGACCTTGGTGGCACCAGTCTCCGACGAACTTATGAATATAACAAGGCATTTCTCAAGAAGATCGGCTTCGTCTTTGTAACCATAACTCAGTCTCTATGGGTTCAGCTTCTCTAACAAAAATATAAAATCATTGACTTGCTTCCCTATTCTATCAGGCGTGCCTCCTGCTCCTCCCTTTGGCACTCGCTTTCGAACATTTAGGATGAATTTTGTCCCAACATAGCATGGTCAACCGGTGATGGCTCTTCTATTTCTATGTGGGATGATGTATGGGTCTCTCCTATTGGCCCACTTTAAAGCCTTGCCTCCAATCCTCTTTCTCCTTGTTTTCATCCACACTTCATGGATTTGATGTCTCCTAATGGTACCTGGAATATATATTTGCTTTCTGGCCTTTTTCCTGCTAACAATGTTTCCCACATTGCTAGTATTCGATGCCCGGATGCTATTGATATTTCGGATTCCTGTAAATAGAGATAGGATGATAGATTCTCTATCACAAATGCTTATGATTGCCTTATGCAGGATAATTAGGATAGGCACTCCAATCATTGGAAAATCATTTGGCATCTTCCAATTTCGCATCGCCTTTGTTTCTTCCTCTGACTCGTCTATAAGGAGAAACTAATGACCAATTCTGAGCGTCATCGCTTCACTCTCTCGAGCACGACTTCCTGCTACTTTTTTGTGGCGCTAATGAATCGGTTCTTCACACCTTACGTGATTGCCTCTTCGGTCGATATGTTTGGAGCCACGTTTGTGCAGGTTTGGTCACTTCCAACTTCTTCACCCTAAATAGACCTGACTAGATCATGAAGAACCTTTGTGCAACGACAGCCTGCACCTCCACTAGTTTTGCTTGGAATGTAATTTTTGATGTCCTCTGTTGGCACATTTAGAAAGTCCGCAATGAAAGAATATTTGGCAATTCTCACTGCTCCCCTTTGGATGTCATTCATCATAGCCTCTCTTGGGCCAAGTTTTTCGAGAATGCCACCCTTGATCTGCCCTTACAATGTTCTGCTCCTCGGTCTCCCATTTACACTCAATGGTCGCCCCTCCTTCAAGATGGACTGCCTTTAACATCGATGGTTCTGTTTGCTTAACAACAGGACACGCCACAATTAGTGGCCTTCTTCGAGATTATTCTGGTTTGTGGTTCGCAGTTTCAGTCACCATTGGCTTTTCGGATGTGCTCCAAGTCGAACTCTAGGCCATTCATGACATGTTTCATGTTGCTTAGCACCTTGGTTTGGCTCAGGTGCAAGTTCAATCAGACTTCTCCAAGGCAATCTTGGCTATTATCGATCCTAACAGCCACCACAATGTTAATCCTCTATTTCGAGCCATCTCCATACTTCAGCACCGAGAATGACTGGATATCATTTTGATCTCGCGTGAAGCAAACTTTCCTGGTGATGCCTTGGCAATGCATGCCCAAGTGCCTTACTTCGAGCAGACCAACTATGACGTCCCTCCCAGCTTCATCTGTGCGCTTCTTCTCTGAGACCTCGAACGTCCCCCCATTGTAAACTAGCAGGAGCTAGTCTATCCCTCTCATTTCAATTAAAAAAAAAGAGTTATTATATAAGCCATTTAATTTCACTGGATTCTCTCAAAAATTAATAATTTAGGAGTTACAATTAAAAATCATTATTTTAGAATTAAATATGAAATTAATAAATTTAATTCAGAAATGATAAATAAAATATTATATACAAATTGTTTTTTTAATTCAAACACGAGTTAATAATATTCCATATTTCAAACAAAAGCAAAGTTTAAATGTACTACTATATTTTCAACCTCTTGTAATCTAGTGATCAAGACTTGACGTTTTCCTTATCGTATTTTGTATTATCCAATGTTAACTCAAATATGTTAAGTACTATTTATAAAACACATTTTTAATAAAATTAATTTTACTTTGGAATAATAATGAGTTTTTTATAATTTAAAAATGATAAAACAAAATATTATTCATAAATATAATTTTAGATTTATAATTTTGTATAAGAACTATTATCTAGAAAAAAATTATATTTGTATGCAAAACATCCGAATTTGAATGAGTTTATGAAACAATATTTTTAATAAAAAGAAATATTTTATAGTAATTGAGACAAATTTGTAAAAAAAAAATTATATTTTACGAAAATGTAAGTATACAAAAAAATTAAATATAAAAACAATAATTAACCTGCAACATCAATATTAGAAAGAATGTTTCTAATCAAAATGAGTGGTCCTAGTCTTCCACCGAGTCAGCACAGATCCACCCAGTTGATGACTCCAAAACTCGCTCAAAAATGTCTTAGCCGCATCCAAACTAGGAAAATAAGTAGGCTCCAAGAATATCTGACTCAACGAATCCACCGAGCCGGACCCCGCCACGACGCGGTTCCCTTTCGCTTCTAAACTCCCCATAACCACCACCAACACTTGCTTATAGCCGTAAAAGAACCGCTTTAGGGCTCCTTCGATGGCTTGCAAAGCTTGTAAGAGAAAGACCTTACTGCCCTCCTGCTTCTCTGTGTATAATCTCATCGCAGCTTCTTGAATCCTGGGTCCACCTTTAGGATCCACCTCCACTCCCAATATAAAAGGAACCTTGTGCTTCAATTCCTTGGACATATTCGTAATTTCAACCAAACCTTTCGATCTGAAACAATACGCTTCCGTTTCGTTGACCGGTTTTATCAGTAACTGACTTTTCAAGTGAAGAAAATCGGCGGGGTCCATTAAGAGGTGAAGATCTTCGATTTCCGCAAGAAGCTTCCAAATCTTTTCCATCAAATAGCAATCGCTCGCGGCGGTTTCGAAGCTTTCGTCGTCGATCCTTGAAGTTATGCGTTTCAGCACTTGTTTCGCCGTTTGGATCCACGATTCCAGAAGCTGCTGCGTCGTGTAAAGCGTCGCGTTCTCGTGGTTTTCGATGCGGTCGTCGTACGGGCTCTTTTTAAGCGCGTGGAGGTCGTTCGGCTTGCAAACGGCGTCGTAATCGATGTTCGGTTTGCCGGATAAATTCGGTTCTCCCAAACCCAGAGTGTACGGACTACTCCTCATCTCGCACTCGATGGAGTAGAGGATTTTCTGCGCAACGTCTTCGGATTTCTGCCACGTTGCAAGTCGAGGCAGCAAGCTGGCTTCACTGGTTCGGCTAACGATCGTTGTTTCTCCTTGAAGCTTCCATACTTCGGCGGAGCTGGTCTCACGAGCTAGTACTCCGTTCGAAGAAGTCAGGTCGACGATCGGCGCCGCGCCAGCGGCCGTTTTGTCCTCCTTCTCGTCCTCGCAGAGCATGGCAATAATTTCGATCTGACTCTTGGTGAGTGACTCAAGTCTACGACTCCACTCGCGACGGTTCGAATACGATCTAGGATCGGACAGAACAATCGAAATAAACCTGAAGGTGATCTCTAAAGCATGCAAAGCCGGCTTCAAAACGAGCTCGTTTTTCCAAGCTGGAAATTCCCTTGTCTCCCATAACTTTCTCAGCTCCGGTAGCCGAAGATAGTAGTCGTAAGCGTCGGAAGCCGAAAGAGGAGATGAAATATTCGAGAAGCGAAACGGCGTAGGAAACGGAACTTGAAGTTTATTAGAAAGCTTTTGGGATTTGCTTAGGATATCGGAAGAAACCATCTTTGCTTTTCATTCTAAATCAGCCATCTTCGAAAATGAATTAGATAAAAAAAAGAATTATAGATTCACTTGACTGGTTTGGGGAATGAAGAGAAATGGTTATATAATGTGGGAGTTTGGGTATTAGGAAAATGGCGTGTGGAAAGGTAGAGGATTTTGAATTTTGAATTTTTTTTTTGTGTGCTTAAACTTCTGTCCATGATTTTTAGAATCGGATCGTTAGCAAATCGATTATACTATCGATTCATTGGTTTAATCGGTTAAATCAATTTGATTAATCGAAAGAATCGGACGACGTTATAATTATTTAAAAAATTAAATAAAAATATCAAAAATATTTAATAAAAAATAATTTTTTATATCACAAGTCATATTCAAAGTAAGTCATAACATATAAAAGTTAAAAACCATAAAATCAAGTGAAACAAAATGATTCAAATTAACAACAACATAATATTTAAGGTAAACCATATTAAATAATAAATATAATTATATAACTATAATTAAAAAATAAATTTGAGGTTAAAAAATCATAACAAAATGATATTGTTTGGTTTAATTTTTTTAAAAACAATCTCACATGGCTAAGAAACATAGAAGAGCATCCTAAAAGTCTAAAGAGTAAAAATATGAGAACAAAACAATCTCACATTGCTAAGAAACATAGAAGAGCATCCCAACTAACTTCTATAAATAATAGAGGTAATTTGACATTCAAAATCATGAGCCTTTTGGTGAGCATTGAGTGAATTATTCTTTCACTTCAATCAAGTTCGAATTTTAGGCTTCAATCGAACTTTAATTTTTTTTTTGAGTTTAAACCTTTTTGAGTTCAAATTTAAATATCAACAATCAAGAAGCCATCGATCATGACTCTAGACCCTTCAAATGAGAAGATGACGAGATGAGAGGAAAAATAATTTTTTATTTTAGTTTGGGAAGATGATAAGATGAGAGGGAAGAGGAAAGATGAGAGTAAAAATCTTTTTTAATATTAAAAATATATCACGTGATATTTTTAATGAGTTAATGATTAAAAATTAACAGTTTGTCACTATTAGACTTAAATTGAATTATGAAATATAACGTTAAACGTTAAATTAAAATAAAAAAATTAGACACCAAATTAAAAATATATATACGGTGAGTATTTTTTTTTTTGACTTTGAAGCTTTTTTTCTCTCGGGAATGAGAAAAAGGAATATTGAACCTTATCCAAGATCAAGATGTGGTCGAGTTGGAATTCTAAGTGGGTATTCTGGTAAAAGTGGAAGGTAACTGTTTTAAGTTGATCAACTACATTACTTAGCTTATCCGCTCAGCTCATAACCAATCACATACTGCCAGTAATTTACCAAATTCATTTATAAACTTTTTTTAAATAAATTATTTTGCATAATATTTTTTTATATTTAGCAATTTTTGTCTATCAAGTATGGAGGATTGGGATATTAAATTCGCAATAAACTAAATTTAAATATAAAACATTAAAAAATCCAATATTCAACAAATATGTACATCTCTTACATAATCCCCTATGTCTTACTTATAAGGAATTGATTAATTGCCAGCTTTATGCCAAATTAACATTCAAAAGAGAAGAGTCAAAGCAACAATTCATAAAAAATGAAGAATATTGACTGTTCTGGTTTTGAACATCTTTGACATGAACTCGGTAGGTAAAAAGACGAGATTATGAATAAATTAATAGGCAGGGTTGTAGCTGATCTTATTATTAAAATGGAGCAAATATTCGGTTGCAAATTCATGGCAACAAACAGGTCGCGAAGACACCCAAAATATATCCTTCAACTCATTCAGTACAACACTTCTATACAGTCGTTTAAATAATAATAATTTTAAAATATTTAAAAGGGTCATTTTTTCGAAACAAATCAAATTTATATTATAATAATGTATTCATATAAGTTATGAATTTATGATCCACCTGCATACTTTAAAAAAAATTAATTTTATATAAATTTAAGATTACTGGGGGATGAAATAAATAATTGGATTTAATTATTATTTTTATAATATTAGTATATTATAAAATAATATTTTGATTTTAAAACATAAATTATAAATAATCTCAAGTGTATGTATGACATATATTGTTTTATTAGAATCTAGTAGAAGTTTAAGTTAGTTTAGTGGTTAAACTCTAATCTTTTAGGAATGCTACACTTTTAAGAATTTTCCTACGGCAAAGAGATATTTTTTTTGGGTGTTTTAGATATGAAAAATAATAGCACTAAAATGACATCATTTTAGTGTAGTAATCAAATCCATAACCATCAATTATATTTTTGTGATGTTAATTATTTAACGATTCTATCTTACAATTAAAGTGAAAATTAAAATTTAATGAAAATGTAATTATATAAATAATATATCGCTAAAAGTTGAATAATATTTTAAGTGGTTTTTTAGAAACTATTATTGTACTTCACTATTAATTAATTTAGTTGATAAAAAAATAATTAATTTAATAATTTAATTACAATATTATAATATTTAATGTTAGCTTTTGATGAATATAATTTATTGATTTTCTAAAATTTTGGTGAATATAATTTAGAAAATAAAAAGAAAAGATAGGGTAATAAAGCACTTTTGGTAGCCCATATGGGCGAAATGGTTTCATACACGGCCGCGCTTGTTTGGCGACAGAATCACGCGTTCTGAACCACGTGACGCTGGTTCACTGGTTTGGCATCCATCATGCTTGTCACGTGCATCACCCACATCCGCTCCCCCTCCCGTCGGCTCCATGGCGTACCTATCAGGTTCCTTTGGCGGTGCACGATAGACAATTTTGACATCGCCACGTGGCATTTAATTGCCTTGCACGATTGGATTTAGCCGCTGAATTATGAAGTGCCGCCTAATAATGATTTTAAGGCCATTAGTTAAAATCATCATAACTACCAGTCCCATGATCCTTATACACAACATCTGGCGAAAGAAAGCAAAATTTGATTATATGTCCGCTGGTATTTCAATTAAGGTGGTAGGAGTTATAAATGACAAGGTGATTTTAAATTAGTATAAGATATTATAATATAATATTTATTTATAATTTTTTTTTATTACTAAAACATTTGAATAATTTTGAAATCGAGTAGATGTATTACAGAGTAGATACGTTGTCAATGATTAAGAAATATTTTAAATATATGTTAACTTATAATCATCTTAAATTGATTGTTAAATAGTATATATACATGTGTTTAAATAAATTTTGAAAATAAAAATCATTAAATTTTGTGAGTAAAAAGATCAAAATTATATTTAAAAATATAATCTTACTCATTAATAATAAACGGTTCCATATAGAAAAAAGATCATTAGCCTAGTTGTTATGTTGTTCATTGCCCAAATGTGTTGCTATGTGAACAAGTGGTTAAGATGGCTAATGATCTTTCGGGCGATGATGGCAAACCACTTCTCAGAGTCGCAACAGGTATTTTTGTGAATGGCATTGCTAGAATTCATGGTTTTCTATGTTATTGAAACTTGGAGGGTGCTTTTAAATGTTTTTCTGATGCATGTATATGTTTGGCAGTGCTCCTTTTGTATTGGTAAAATCTGATTGTCATGAATTAAGATGCTTGACTTGAGGGGTGGTCAATTAATGAATCAGATATTATTGTGTCAACATCAGTTGCTCTTTTGAATAATATAGACCCTATGACCCATCATCGTTCGGATTTTATAAGTTCTGTAAAGTATGTGGTATATTTTCTGACTCATATCTTGGTAAAATATTAGACTTTGTTGAAGTACGAACATATTTTAACCGATGGATGACTATATCAAATTTGATATGCCATAAAATATTGACATTAACATACCATATACCAACAACATGGATGAAATAAATAAATAAAAGCATTTATATAAAGAAAATCCACAGAATGATTTATTAATTAAGAAAGAAAAATGATAGGACCAATCTGTCACCATGCTTTAACATGGATCTTTACTGGGAGATAGGCATTGATTGAACAGGAAAAGCCGCCATCAATTAAAAAAAAACCAGCCCACCCCTGCGTATAGGCTTATCTTGAATTTTGGATGATTCTACCTGTAAAACATTTAATATTAAACTCAAAAAGGAAAAGATTTAAGATTTTTGAAGGATAAAGGATTATATTAAATAGTAATCTAAGAAGTAGACAAGGTAACCCTTGTTCAAAGTTTGTCTCACCTCACAAATCCATTGAATATCCAAATTTCAATTATATTTAGCTGAATCAATATCTTCGAACAAATTAAAGTACTCTCCTTAATAACATATGCCAGATCTTTTAGTCCAGTTACGCATAGGGATGTTTATCAAGCGAGTCGATCGCGAGTTAGGTAATACTCGACTCCTGCTCGTTAAAAAAATTTTGTTGCTTGACTCGTTGCTAGTTAAGCTCGTCAAAATTTTGTTCAACTAATGCTTGTTAAGAAAATTTGGTGCTCGAATTGTTGCTCGTTAAAATTTTGCTCGACTCAAACTCGTTAAGAAATTTTGTTATTCAACTCGTTGCTCATTTAAGCTCATTAAGCTCACCGAATTTTTTTATTTTTTAACTATAAGTAAAATCTACTAATACTATATATAACTTAATATAAACATAAATTAATAAATTTAATAAAAAAATTATCAAAAGAGTGTATGAAACAAATTGAAAGTCTAAACATCAAAATAACAATCTATAAATATATTAAAATAATAATTAGGCTTTGACTTTTGGATGTAATAAAATAATAATTATTAATTAATACTTGAGTATTTTTAATTATTTATTAAAAAATTAATAGATTAGTAATTTATCATCTTTTTATTATCTATTAGTAAATTAATAATATTTTGAATGAAATAATTTTTTAAGATAATTACTAAAAAAAATTATAAGTAAAAATTGACAAGCTGAGCACCTGAAGCTGCGGGCCTTGCTCAATAATGAAGCTGGTGCCGGTGTAGTCCCGGACAGTGACCCTGAAGCTGAGCACCTGGAATGCCTGAACAAAGCTGCGGGCCTTGCTAGTACCATTGGGCTGGCGGAGTCTGCATTCGTAAATAAATGATATGCTAGCTTTTATCGACCACAGCTGCAGAAGTTTTTCATAATGTAAAATATTAAACATTTTTCATATCGGTTATGTAATGAAGTTTGTCTTTCAGACAACCTAGACCTTGTTCAATAACCGGTTAATCATCAATGGCAGACTACAAATAATTAGATTCAGAATAAAACTACATTTTTATTTTTAACTCTCTTTTCTGCATCTTTATGATTGCTTCTTTACGTGGAAAAGAAAAACTTTTTCCACACGTGTCTTCCACTACTATATATTAAATCATTTTAATGCATTCGATACAACTTTTTCTTTAATTACAATATTTGAATTCAAGATTAAATATTTTTTAATCCTTTTATCTTATGAGACAAATTGAGTTTGGATCGTTACATATTTTAGTTACAATATATACTTTAACTTGAATATTGTTATTCACTGCACACTTTATGACATATGTAATAGAAGGAAAGAAAAGTTAACAATAATAATAGCAGGTGCGTATCATATATGGAAAGCAAAGGAATAGGTTTCTTTTTAGGGATTTTGATTTGGACTGCATGGCAAGAAGTTGAAAGAAGGAAGGAAGCAATTCAATATTTACCATATATGAGAATCAAAGACTTTTTGTTAAATATTGAAAATTCTATTTTAGAAAGATTGTTACGTTAAATTTATTAAGTGAACTCAACCAATATAATTTGTATTTTACTCTTTAATTAATGTTTTTATACGCAATATCAATGTCTGTATTTCTTATTTTTCAAATTTGAAATCAGTTATTTTAAAATAATTTGATTAAGTTAAACTGAATTAAATGGATGGGTGTAGATTAATATTTTTATGTCATTAAGAATTAATAATGTAATTGATATATAAAAATTAAAATTTTGAAGATGATCTTAAAATGGATTATTTGTTAAATTTATACATTCGCTTCTAATAAGATTATATTATGAAACATATGATTGAAATGACAGAGTGTAACATCCTAGATCAGTATGACACACAGTCGATCGATGTAAGATGCCACACGGAACCACCGGAGTGGCTTACCAACTTTTTTCTTACTTTCTTTGACTTTAAAACAACCATTTGAATAAAAACCAACCATGAAATAAAATAAAAACATTTACACTGAGGAGCCCCAAAATAAAATATCTACGTCTAAAAAATAATACAAACCATTGAAACAATAAACTTACGACTCAATTGGACAATAATGTTTACAAATATACATGCCTATTAAAAATGATGAGACGTACTCTGAATTTGCATTGGGTCTGGAACTTGGTCTTTTTCTCTACTACTCCTCGAACGCTCGATTTACTGACTTGCCCACGGAAAACAATCTGAAGGCTGAGCTAACTAGCTCAACGCCACACTAACAAATAGAACATACTAATAGTTTATTACTGAAATGCTCAAGCTATCAAGTGTGCTGCTATCTGGTCTATTGCTATCTGGTTTACTGCTATCTCGTCTACTACTATCTGGTTTATTGCTATTTTGTTTACTGATATGTTCTTTTCTTCTTTGTTTTAGTGAATATACTCATATACCCACTCTCTACTCTATGGTATACATCATGGTGCGACTGAGGGTTTTGCATCTCGGACCTCACACACCCCTCTAGTCTACCGAGAATATGGCTCCAAGAATCTCTGCATCGGACACCACACTCTCGATTAGCCCACTGCTTGAATGTCGGACCTTGCACCCAAACTAGTCAGCTTAAAGTGCCTTGTGCACTCCCTAAGGATATACAGACTGAATCTATACTATAGACTCTGCTATCTTTTCTAAAATAACTCGGGTGTCCTGGTCGTTTTCTCGAGCATTCAACCAATGTTAGTCTTATTTCACCCTACTTTATTCATGTTTCTACGTTTGAATTAAACGTTAATAAATGTTCTCACTTGTAGTCTTATTTGAGAGAAATTATAAGCTTTTGGGAAACCTCACTTACCTCTATACTTTCTCTTGACTTAAAGCCCATTTCTCAACATTGGTATCGATACTAGCCTTACAATACCAATCCCCTTGCTTGTCTCTACATTTACTCGATATTATCCTTATAATATTGATACTCTACCTGCATAAGTCATAAAACACATACGAAAATGCTATATTTCAATTCCAAAGACCCTAGTGAGGTCTCCAAACATTCTTTAAAGTCTTATGTGATTACAAGGAGCATAAATAAGGTTTTATGTCATGCTTATAACATAAATCATGTAATCTACCATTAACATATAACACTAAGCTTCATAACTTACTCTCAAGCTAGAACTCATTTCTAATGATCACTAGGAGTATGGAAGAGTTGATAGTGTGTTACATTGCTTCTTGCTTGCTAGAAACTCTCTCAAGTTAACTAAGGGGCAACTTCTCTTTCCCTCTTGCTTTAGAGTTTTCTCCCACCTCCCTTACTAAACAAAGATAAGAAAAGGGATTTACTAAACCAACTAAGCTCTTGGATTAAAGCTTAAGATGTTGTAGGTAACTTGAATACACTACAACAAATCTTGGATTCATGGATCCCCTTAACCTTCATAAAACCCATTTTGAAAACTAATTTTAAAACTCACAAAATGAAGATTAAAACAAAGCTTGAAGGATGGAGAGAAACATTCTTACCTTGGCTAAACCAATCTAAGATTTAAATGCTTGAACTTGACTTTTGAAAGAGGAAAAAATGAAAACTAATGGAAGAAAGAAGAATAAGAAGAGTTAGTGAGATATTATGGGGAGTTTGGTTAAGTAAATGATATAAAAATGAGGAGAAAAGATATCATCTTTAACAGAAAAAGGGTAAACTACACTTTTAATCCTTCTCCTTCTAACTCACTTTAAAACCATCACTTCTCCTAACTTTTGGAGCCTTTCTAAATGATCCCAACTATCTTAGAAAGTTTAATTATCCCAACTTTCGAATTACTGACCCCGGGATTTGAAACGTTAGACGTAGTCTTATCTTATCCCACTTTATGCGACAATTAACTGAACATATTCGACCCCACTTTCGTTTCTTAAAAAAGAAAATAAAACTAATTAACCGAACAGGAAAAGCTTTCATTTCACATCAATAAAAGAAATTAATATTGTAACAAAAAAAATTATTGCTTGATGATGGTCCCCAAATGGACCGACCCTTCTCGCTTACTAAATGCTATTTTTTACAAGAATATAATGTTAAAATTCATTTTTAATATATGATAAAACAATTATTTTAAATTTTATTTAGTTTATTTATGATAATGTATCTTGGATCTTTGTTTTAAAGGGGCTTATCTGTATATCAACCTTGGATCTCAGGTATGTTGTTGAGAGGATGGATGGTGATCTTTGGGAGAAGGTTCTAAATCCTGAAAATGATTATAGAAGACAGTTAATCGATCAGGTTGTGTCCACTGCTTTGCCAGAAAGCAAAAGTCCAGAACTAGTCTCTGCAGCTGTTAAAGCTTTCATGACGGCAGACCTGCCCAATGAACTGATTGAGCTTCTTGAGAAGATTGTAACGTGGAAGTGAAGCTTTTAACGTGTGCTGTTTTTGCTCTGTGGTGGTCTTTCTCTAGTACCTTGACAGAAATGGACATAATTTCAGTGTTGATTTTCTTTGTACAGGGCAAGAAGGAATGCTTTGCATCATGCCTCTTTGTCTGTTATGACTTGATTCGACCAGACGTTGTTCTTGAGCTAGCCTGGATTAACAATATGATTGATTTCGCTTCCCATATTTGTTGCAGGTAATTTCTCGCAGTATCATCATTTCATTTGATTGGGGATTTAGTAGCTAGACTTTTTATTTTGTCTCGTACTGCCCTGCTAAAAAGGCTTGAATGATAGAACTTAGTGCACTGCCTCACTTTACCATGATTCTTTTATTAGCCATGAAGATGTTTCTTAATTTGGAGATTATTGTTGGAACCTTATTTGAGTCTGTGTTTTTCCAGTTCATCCGTGAATATACTGGGAAAGTTGATGAACTTATCAAGGACAAGGTTGAGGCTCAAAAAGAAGTTAAGGCTAAAGAGCAGGAAGAGAAGTGATTGCACAACAGGTACTCATAACTCTGCTTTCTTGAAAAAAGATTCTCTACATCTGAAACATATTGTAAGCGATCAAAATGGATTGTGTCGCAGAACATGTATGCTCAGTTACTACCTCTTGCACTACCTGAGCCGCCAATGCCGGGAATGGGAGGTGGTTTTGCACCTCCGCAACCCACGGGAGGAATGGGAATGCCCCCAATGGGCAAGGACGGAACTATATAGAGTCCTTCCCAAAATTTTTGGTTTAATAGCATTTTAGGTCCTTATTAATTTAAATTTAAATAAAAATACACTTTTGCCCTTAAATTTTTAGATTAAATACATAAAAAGTCATTATTTTGAACTTCAATACCTTGCTCCTCCCAATATTTGATCCTGGCTCCGTCCTTGTCGATGGACAACTTTTTAAATTAAATACATAGTAAATCCTTGTTATTTTGAACGATACCTTACTCTTCTCAATATTTGATCCTGACTCATCAAATATGATTCATAATTTAGTAATTAGTGGTTAGTTGAATACATGTTGGTCTGAGGGGAAGGAGAATGACAACGTAGTTCAATTAGCGAGTCTTGGAGTCTTCAAAAGTGAACTTTCCCCTCGTCGACAAAGTTGGAATAATGCCATTATGTTTCATGAGTGTGCGATGTGTCTTGTAGGATTTCTATTTTTTAAAAGAAGAGGGATTTTTTGGTGGTGGTAGGGCCGTAGAGTTGGTCAACCCGGGGATTTCATTAACTGTATTTTTTTCGTAGTACTTGTTTTTTGATTCATTCGGTCTTCGGAATGCGACTGATTTTGTTTCATTAACATTTTTTTTTTGGCTCTCCACTTACATGAGATGAAAAGGAAAAATCCAAGTTTCATACGTACAACCTCAAGTCCATCCCCTACCTTTGATTCGGTAGACAATCTCAAGCTCTGCCCACCAAAAGGCAGAATTTTCTGGGATTGCACTGATGCCGCAGGAAGTATAATACCTTAGACAGGAAATCCATGAGTCTACTTTGATTAAAAGGACTACTTAAAATATCCCTTATGAACTACATACAACCCAAATCTCAACACAGTTTATACCTACCTACAACCAAAATGTCTCAACAAACACCTTAAAGAAACAACTTCTGACATGGAATGGAGCATGCTCATGCAATAGCTTCCACTCCCTCATGAAGAAGCATCTGATCGAAGTGCCACACCCCTGAATAACCATGGCACACGCATATCAGGCACAAAAATAGATGAAGATGAAATCATGGTGATTTAGAGTTAAAGATAGCCCCTTTCACTAAAAAAAAAAAGACCGAAGAAGTTTAGACTTTTACCATGTCCTTTTCCAACTCTTCTTAACTGAGCCACATATTCCGATATTTTCTTAATGGCCTCCACCTATAAAGAGAAAGCACGGCGGAATCAAAAACCCTGATTTTATATTCATCAGAAAAAGTAAATTTTATAGACACCGAAATTGTATTATACCTGCTCAGCTAAGTATTCGCGTTCAATGAATTCTGTCAACTGCACGTCATGGTTCCGCACAGCTACCTATTTATAAAAACCTTAATTAGTTAAAAAATATGTGTGCTGTCACCATATTATCACTTTTAAATCGAAATTCACAACTACATGCGGAGAACAAGATAGAAAAGAATATATATATATATATATATATATATATATATATATATAAAGAGAGAGAGTGTCTTACACTATGCAGGTTCAAGAGCTTTTCATTTGTTAGTTTCTCCAGGGACAAGGCAAGCTCCATTGCTGAACCAAAGAACTAAACACAATCAGCTTCATTCGCATATGACATGCTAACATCTACAGTATATTTTTACTACTTTCGACTAATATGACATTATCATGCAATCCGGATCGACATTAAGAAAGATAATGGGATGATCACAAAACAAATTTCAAAATGCTCCAGGTAGTTGGCAAGTAAATGTTCAAGAAATCTCTCTTCCTTGGCTACATTCCTTATAAACGACTATGAACACACCAAACATACAAATTTACAAACATACTTCATAGGTACAACGTGAATCTATATCTCACTGTATTTTTCATGTGGATATATTTTACCGGACGGTAGAAAAAGAAGGCAACCGAATAAGAAACAAAGCACATTTTACTAAACCAACCACAGGCTCTAATAATATCAACTTACCATACAACGCATCTCCTTTCTCTGCATGATCAAACTCAGAGAGGGGCATCAATATGGACTGCAGCTTCACTTTTCCACCTCGTTTATTCTGATAAATAATAAACAACCCAAATCAGGAAACAATGGCATAAACAAAAGAGCAGCAACAATAAGAAAGTGAGGGCATAGATAAAAGAACCTGGTATTCCATCAATTTCTCAGCATGCTCTCTTTCTTCTAAACTCGATTCCTTGAAGAACCTATTCGCACGGGGAAGTCTGACGTTAGCTAAAAAAAAGAGGGTTCCAAAATGCTCAACAAACTCAAACTTTTTCAAGGAGAATTACTTGGCAAGACCCTTGAGTGCAACGTTGTCCCTATCGAAGTAGGCGAATATAGCATGATATACATACGAAACATTGTATTCGACACTGCCATTCCAAAAGAAATGCACAAACAAAACATTAGAAATAAGCATATTCACGCCAAAGCCATCAGAATAAGCCAAAATTCATCTTTACAAAGAAAATCAAATCAACACATCCAGGAAATCATTCAAAATTCGTTTTTCAAAAGAAAAGGCTTGAATGGGTTTTATACAGAAGAAGGCAGTCTATTTTTCCTCACAAAAATTAGCAGGTCAGAGAATAAAATAAGTACTATATTTTTAAAGAATTTTAAAACTGGTACCATCAGAAAATACATTTTTTTCGAATACACAGTTGACTTTAGAAACTATAAAGGAAAAGACCCACTTGATTTGTTCGTTGATTGAAGCTTCACAGTCATCGGTGTACTTTTGGCGAGCCAGAGAAACTTGAGGCGCGGTGGGTACAAGATCAAGCTCCTTCTTCACTTCCTTAAAGGGTTCGAAAACAACACCAGTGAGTGGCTTGTGGTTGGTCCCTTTGGTTGCACAAACTACGACAGACCCAGATCCATTTCCTGGAGAAGAAAGCCGATGAATCGAGGAAGAAAAAGAATGGAAAAGAAAGGCCTGCGATGAAGAAGCAGAGGAAAACAGTGAACCCTCTTGAGAATTTAACAAAGAAAAAGCTGGAGCAGCTTTCAGCAACATGGCTCAGAAAAACCCGAAGCTTTTGAGTTTTGACGAAAATGGGAATCAAAGGATCTGCAAACAGTGGAGGATCGAAGGAGTAGGAGAGAGTGGCATAAGAACTGGGAAAGGGATGGAACGTGTACGGTCCAGATGAAGAGGCGGTGGGTGGGGGGAGCGTGGCATGGAGGCTGGCGGCTCGCCAATCGAGGTTGATTTGGATCTATCCAATTATATATGGGTAAAGTAAACAAAATAATCTCTCGAGCATAAGATTCTGATTCAGTTAATTATAAAAGTTACATAATAATTTTTTAAATGTTATTTTATCGAGTCTTTTGAGTATTAAAGGTATAAAATGATCATCAAATTATTCATATGTTTTAAATTCATCAGTTTTTGTTAAAATATAATTGTATGAGTTAGACGTTAACATGCTAAGTGAGATATGATAAAATCATATTTTATTGATGTCTATTAGTTGACATTGTCATTGCTTTCAAACACAGGCTCAACGACATAATGTTTTAAGCCCTCATTCGATGAAATAATGTAAATATAGAGTTGATCCATAAAATATAGATCGAACGATACTAGGATCAAAATTTAGTATATCTCAATTAATAAGTTAATATCTAGCTTAGAGGGTCGCTAATTTCTTCACAAAAAATGATAAGTTGAGAACATAAAAATAGTGAGGTGATCATTTTATAATTTTTAATAAAACTCGATAAAATAATAATTTATGATTAAGAGATCATTTTATAATTTTAATAGTTAAAGACTTAACTAAACAATATCTTATAATCAAAAGATGATTTATATATTTTATCAATTATATATTTATATGTTCAAATTATTTTGTAGGTATCTACATATTATTAATATTATATATATATATTGATATATTCATTTGTTTATGTTATATTTGTGTATTTTTTGTGTATTTTAATATGGGGTAAAGTATACAAATTATTATCCAATTTTTTCTCATTTTTATTTTGGTCACTTAATTTTAAAAATTTCCAATTTACTAATGGGGATAAAATATAATCTAATAAAATAATATTTGATTGTCAACCTTGGATTCCTTTGACGGATTGCAACAATACATGTAATTAAAAGAAGGCATAAGGGGGAAAAGTTTGCTAACTTGACTCCCATATATAAGAATCATCTGATTTGCTCACCAAAATTACCACAATTTCCATTTAAAACAACACTCGTTTAACATCTCAATATATTTTACAAGAACTTTCCTCATCATCTTCAAATCTTGTTCCGTTGTAGAACCATATAAAAGACGTTGAGCAGCAATTCATTGAAATCAACGACGCCTTTTACGACTCCACCATACTCGAAGATAAGCTTCTTCGATACGAAAGAATATTATATAAACACAACTGCTCGAACATATAATCTCTTAGGAGAACAATATTTTATTTTATCACTGAAATCATTTGATAGATCCTTATTTAAAATATTCTCAATTACAAATAAAAATGAAAAAAAAATTAACTCGTACAAAGAGTGAAAGGTGACTGAAAAAAAATTAATGCAAGATAATAATTACATGGTAGCAAATGGTATTATACAAAAAAAAGGTTAAATTTCTTGAACTGATAAATAATTAAATAATAAAAAACTTACCTTAATTAAAAATTAACGTCATATAATAGACAAAATTAAAATGGGTGGGTTTTAATTAATTTGTTACATAAACCATTAATATAATGTTGAACATTAAAAGCCCCCGTACCAAGTTGCCATACAACTTG